TTGCTTTTTGTTGTGCATTATTGCAGACAGATGTCGAAGGACACGAGCGCGTCATTGCGTATGAATATCTTCAGCTCAGTACTGCAGAGAAGAACTACCCAGTTAACGACAAAGAATTGCTCGCTCTAAATATGCTTTGATCAAGTTCAAAGTCCACCATCTTGGCTCATAGCCTTTTGAGATTTTCAAGATTATGAGTCGTCACGCACTGCGACACATTCTCCTCACCTTCGACAGTGTTTGATCCATCGGTTTTTATTCTTCGTTGAATACAACTTCGAGTTGAACTATAAGCCGGGCAAATAACGCTTTGGCTGATACGGTATTACGCAGACCCGATTATAAGCTGACTCAAGTTACGACTCTGTTGTCATATATTTTGATCTAGTTCGTGCGGCTTATGCACGTGATGAGCAACGTGCAGCATTGCTACATGCTCTTGAAAGCAAATAGATTTAAGACTCGGAAATCAAGTTGTCGGCACGTTTACTTGCGAGCCTACATCGATATGTCATCGATGGTAGGTTGTTGTGCTATTGCACGGGTGTTGAGATTTGCATCGCATCGTTGTTACTCACAAGGAGGACTTGACGTACCGTCTTTTCTTTGAGGAACACGAAATTGCTTTAAGAGGACATCTCGTTCTTGAGAAGATATATAGCTTAATTAGCCAGACGTTTCGGTAGCCCAAGTTTTACACATGGGTGAGCACATATGTGCATACACGTGAAGCATGTCAACGGGTAAAATCCTCAGCACATGCAGTTCAACCGCTTGCTAGTTGTACCCACTGAGTGTTGGGAGTCCATCAGTATGGACTTTGTGTTTACCTACCGAAGGATTCGGACGGCAACACTGGTATTGTGGTCTTGGTTGACCGTTCGAGAAAATGGCTCATTCAGCGGCTGTGCCTGATTTCATCGAAGATGAAGGCACCGCAAAGCTATTTATCGACCGTGTTTTTCGTCAACACGGTTAGCCTAGGCAATTGCACATGATCGTGATCCACGTTTCACTTGCAAGTTTTGGACTTACATCTTCATGACTCTCAGCACCAGGTAGGATATGTCCACGGCGGATCATCCTCATACTGATGGTCAAGCTGAACGTGTCAACCTTGTCAACCTTGTCAAATTGGTGGCATTTGCACAATGATCATGCTGATACGCCTAGATGTTGGAGTTCTATGCTCTTGGCGATCGAGTTGCGTTAAATAACGCTGTTTATGCATCTACGAGATTTACTTCTTTCTACGCAAATGGTCCTTCAAACCCACGCGTTCTGTTAAAGCTTCCTCTAAGACGTTCTGGGCTTTGTGGGGAAGGAATAGCCGTTCGGCCTTTTATTGTCAGCCCAGCTATTGTCAGAAACGTGCAAGCGAGTTTTTTGCAACGCGATTAAAAGTTTTGCGACTTGACCGCGACGCAAAGGCTGATAGCCAGGACAGACAGAAGTAACAAGCTGATACTAAAGGCAGAAAGTGCATTGAGATTTGTAAAGTTGGACGCTTCTTTCGTTAAAAACCGAACGTCAGAAAGTGAAGCGCTCTCTCGGATTTCGACATACTTGGCAGATGGCAAGCTCTGGTGAGCCCAACGCGTGACTACGACATTAATTACCGCCTCTATATCACCAGGAAAGAGAATGATGGGCATTGTCCGCATGGTGGACACTGACGCACCTCGTCTTGCAGAATTAGCCTGTCGAGGTAATCTTGTCCGGTCATTCACCCATTCCCCAAGTATCTTGCTCCAGGAATATCCCTCTCCGCATGTGCTTTTTCTGTGACAACCATGGGTCCCGTTATCCATGTTGCGAGTGACTGCTCGGGGGTCTGGATAATACGTTTATCCACACTCGGTTGTGTGGTGGAGTGGGTTGCCAAAACTGTTTGACGAGACCCCAAACCACTTACTGTGCCGGACTGCCAACTGTCGGAGGGGGTACTTCATGCCGCTTGTGGACCATGACCCACCTTGTGTACCCGTCGGCTTGGCGGATTTTACTCTTCGGAGGTCTTGGTGATGATGTAGACGTCGGCCTTGATTGAGGTCGACCTGGGAGGGCCCCGAGCGAATATGCTTCAGTCGGGGTCCGATGCAGGCGGCACTCGATCGACTTGGTCGCGAGTGGTCTTATAACCTGTTGTCTCAGATGCTGGTACCGCCTGAACTTTGCTTGTCTCAGGGTTGCTAACCGCCTGGCCTTCTCCCTTATCACTGGGGTATGGAGACCACTTTCTGTAGCGGGCCTGAGCTGGGGGGGTCTACTCTATGAACCCACAGGCTAATGTACTTCCTGGGGTTCTACTTACGCTTGTGTCTTACCAAAAAATGTATGTTCTACGGGTGGGCCAAACAAATCCCTGGCCCGGAACAGGTGGGTAGGCTTACGAGTGTCTTAGCGCACGGCACGTCGTGCTACTCAGATTGCAGATTGAGTAGTATTTAACGTTACCCTATCCTTTAAACTCCTTTAATCTATCCTTGCCTTGCACCTGGGTTCTCTATGATGAGTGGCCAGGAGCCATCATACATTGAGAGGCCAAGTCTAACTATGAGTAGCCAGGTCGGCCGATGGGTGGCCATGTAGGCCTACGGGTGATCGAGGCCCACCTTGGACGACCAGGCCGACCAATGGGTAACCAAGTAGACTTACGGGGGATCGAGGTACACCTTGGGCGACCAAGCCGACCGACGAGTGGTTGAAAATGATCCATATCGGTACAGTTTAACTGGTACCACTGGTCGGTTTGACCCCGTTAGCAGTAACCTTAACCGCTCGTCACGGTTGGAACCAACGGCCGCTCCTTATCTGTGAGCCCAAACCTCCGGTCCCTTTACTGACCGTGAGGTCCCATGTACATCCAGATCATCGACTCTTAAGTCCATCATTTTGAAATACTTGCTTTAACACAGTTTTGTGAAGCGGTAACCACTGTGAGCACGCGCTGTAGCTACACATCGTGCTTGACGCCTGCGGTTATCGACCGACTGAAGATGTTAAGCTTGATCCTCATTAATTGTGATGTGCAACACACCTAACGCAGAGTCGACGTCTGCACGCCGTGCAAGGGATGAACGCACCTCCTCGCGTTTCACGAAAGGATTAGGCGCAATGCGTGCGGTGTCACCCGCCGGTGGCGTAGATGTAGGATGGTGCTCGACGCGTTAATATTGCTCTCATAGACCACCATGCCCTCTTCGAGAAATTCCTCGAGGGTGTTGGACGAAGGCTTTGACTCAGTCATTTTGAGATGTGTTGTGAACACGATGGTCAAGGACCAAAGCTTTAGTAGACCTCAAAGCGCAGTAGAAGAATTGTCGACACAAAGGTGTCGACAGTTTGGGGGGAGGGTTTAACGGGGCTACACACGGTAATCTGAACCGGTTATGTTGTGTGTCTGCACCAAGCTAAGACCGGTGGATCTGAGTGGAATAGTCTTGGTACCACGTACTTACGGTAATACGCTCCTTATCGGGTAAGGATTAGAAAAAAGACTTCTGTCATAGGATCGCAATGTAGAATTCAGTCAGGCAAGGTTTTAGGGTTTGATTACCGTAGCTAAAAGAATGAAGAAGTTCAGTTTCCCTTCTGAATCGTTGGACGCTAGTGCCTAGTCAAGGCATAGCGTGATGTAAGAGTGTTAGCCTTGTGAAGGCGTTTGTGGAGAAAACTAAAACGCATAACAGAAAAGTTTACTTTTGGACGCGTGCTAGACGCGTTTCGGCCCGCCGCCGCGGGCCTCTTCAATGGCTTGCAGAGCGCAAAGTGAAACCTCTCAGTGCAGCGGCCTCTGCCGCTGCCGAACATTTTCCTACGCATCGAACATTCTAGAACTACCTTTTATACGGACTAATCTAACACTATCTAGCAGACTTCATTGGCGTACAACGAGTACCCGGCTAGGTACGGAATAACTTTTTTTAACAGTTTACTCTTGTTTAATAGTAGTGACAAGTTAGTTTGTGATTCTATGAAATAATATCTCTTTGGAACCGGGATTGTTAAGCTTGTACGCTTGAACGACTGTACGTCGTTGATAGTTTGTTATTCCCAAGAGGTTCTTTCAGTCTAAGACTACCTCTGTTCAGGATCGCTAAGTAGCTCCACTACACCTGTGACTTCTAGTATTGCACGGACTATTGATCGACGATTGTATTTATGGGGTCGGCACGAGTCACGACTGTAGAAATGGGTTTTCCGTAAAAACGTTTTTTTTTTGTGCTACAACCACGTTATTTACATATACAAAAGATAAACAATCACTCTCTCTTTGATATTTGTTACTTGCTGATGTCTTCTTGATTGCCAGTGTCAAGGTGTGCTACCTGCAAACAAAATCGCTCAAGCTGTCACTTCCTGGTTACGATATGCCATTTGAAGCTTTGGGTAGACATTAACGCAGCGGAGCAGACATTATCAGTACGTACGGCACCGACAGCTTCTAAGTGTCGTAGGCCTGTCAAGTCTGTAAAGTAGCGAAGGGATGTACAGAAGGATATCGTCAGCACCGCTGTAGCCAAGCATCGAGCTTCTTAATCGTGATCCTATAGGTCATCAGTTATCACTGTACTGAGTCCCAACACACCACGGGGTCCACGGGAGCTAACATTCTCGATCACAGAGATGCTGTTGTAGAGATGCACGAATGTTTATTCGCTTCATCGCGCCGTCTGTCCATGCGCGAAACAAGTAGCACAAATGTCTCACTACATACACGGTGACAGTTTTGCAATGCATTTTGGGTCGATTTCAATGCAACAACGACGACAAAGTGCTCTCAAATGTTGCTGAACATTAGAGAGTCAATTATCGCAAAAAGAGACTGAGCAGACGTGGGTTTTCAAGTAAATGTATCAACAATGACGATTATCGTTGCAAGAGCGAGCACCAATACTCCCTTGATTTACAGGGCGGGCGACTACGCGCTGTCGCTTCTCACTAGACCCGCTGCGCGAACCGAAACGACGCCGTTGTAGCTTCTAAACTCCGAGCACTTACAGGAAATAGGTGACAACCACAGCGGTGAAGGCAGCCACACTGCCAACAGCCACCGAGGCGGCGCCGGACGCAGAGGCAGACGCGTCGCCGGACGCAGAGGCAGAGGCGTCGCCGGCGGCAGGACTCGTAGAATCCACGGCGGCAGAACCCGTTTCCTCAACGCCATCAGTAACCATCGTGGAGTCGGCGACGCCCGGTGCGGGCTCGGCGGTCATTGACGAGTCGCCCACAACTGCTGCATCCGCAACGCTTCCGGCGGTACCCGTGGGCGAACCACCGACAGCAGTGAGGTCTGCCGACGGGCCAGCGGCGGAGCCAGGGTTCGTGGTACCGCTCATGTCGGCGTTCATCGCGGCATTAGGATCCACCGTCGCGGCTCCGGAGGCCGTTCCTTCAGTGGCCCCTCCAGTCGTGGCCGTGGTTCCTTCAGTCGTGGTTGTGGTAGCTGGGGATCCTGCTGCAGGATCTGCCGGAGCCTGTCCGTTTGCGACGGCGACGATGAGAGCAGCAGCGACGAATGTGAAGACCTTCATGGTGTACTTGGGAGTGGAGTGGGGTGTGGACTAGGAAGCTGCTGGGCACTTGCTGGTGAATGTGAGAATGAGGAGACTGTCGGGCGAGACGCCAAGATGCCGCTGCGGCTGTCGCTGTCCAGAGTCGGCGGCGGGACCATCGGGTGGTCTCGTTTTTCTCTCTTGCGCGCGCGACCGACGAACGAGCGTACGACACGACTAAAGAAAGGCGCAGCAGGCCGGTGTCGCGTGTTCTGAAAAGGTGCTGCGAGCACACGATAGGAAAAGGAAGCATAGTGAACTCAAGCGATGCAAAGAGGGACGCGTTTTTACGTCGCGTCGACCACAAATATTCAGTGCTGACTCTTTTCGTCAGCTGATCGTTGCGACCTCATGTCAATGAAGGTATTCGATGTCGCAGTGTAGCTTCGTGATGACCAGAGCTGTTGCAGTGCGCTAGCATGTAGACCTGCTGTCGTTCTTTTGTAATCGAGTTCTCACCAAGGTCGTAAAGAATCTCTGCGAACCCGAAGTCGCAATACGGTTGTCGCTGTCTGTGTGACTTCGAGCGGAGTGGGACTGACGTGTGCGGAGCGATGTATCACACAGGGCAACGTGTCTGGCAATTTCGCATGCCGGTCGATAGACGTGTGTGGTGCAGCAATTTTGTGTAGTGGTTGCTGTTCTGTTGGACGCCTGCAATACGACGATGGAGCACAGCCTCTATACTGCCGACCGTGGGCAACACGTGAAGCCCAACAAGCGAAGGCATCGGCCTGGCACCCTTTTACAGCGGTCGAGACACACCAACAAAGCGTGCGTTTGTTTGGTCGTACGTATAATGGGAAACATGTTCGCATTGCAGCACGGCGGATCCGGGTATATCGGGACTGTCAGGGGTCAAACGGGCGCAACGACTGGGACTCCTGCTCAGGTTTTACAGCAAGTATCACCAAAGTGGAGACACTCACTGGGTCAGGAGCTGAAACGCAAGCTTGGAGAATAATTGGTCTGGAGCGCAGACCAACGTAGATGTACTTCGTCATGGTGTACAATAGCACTTGGTAGCTCTGCTGTAACGCATCAGCAGCTGATGGAAGAACAACGAGTTCCGTGTGTAACCGTACGACGACCCGTTCCCATAGGATTGATAGAAGCCGATGGCATAGTGAACCCTGGTTGAAAGATTGCGTCAGCCTTTCAGTAGGCTTTCGACATATGCGGGCCTTTAGTGCTTGGTACAGCTAGAGCGACGCATGCTTATCCGGCATTCGTTGACGACTCGACTCTTTTCGTAGTGCATGTGCTCTAATCGGCGGTATTTATATTATTGTCTTGCCGCTCAATTGGGGGAGATGTCGAATACAATCAGCTATTCGATTTTGTACAATATGGCAGTGCGGCTCCAGAAGTTTATCTATACTATACCTCAGTGTTGCAAATAGCGGGGATGACACGATCTTTCGATTACGTCGTGGAAACGGGAAAGTTGCTTGATCACAATGGAGCACATCGCATACGGATGTCTGGAGATGGCTTCACACTGCCTCATTTATTACCGCTGCTGCGTGAATCGAGTTTTTTTTCCGACACAATTATGTTTACTACCTTCCTGTTTACAGCCGCTGTCCATTAGCGCTGTGCGAACGAGTCTTGCGGTGCACATTACAACATCAGATACAGCAGACGCAGGGTAAGTTGTATCTTCTATTCATAATAAAGCATGTTGAAGGGGGTGGGTAAGGTATTTCTTTTCTGAAAGGAAATGTATTAACTTAGTTGACGGAGCACGTGTGGCGGTAGCTCACGCTTGCACATGACAAGTGCGGCCTGACATCGCTGGACTCATAGTGCAGCAAGCTAACTGTCTGCATTCGTGTCAGCTATGCGACCAAAAGATGAAGCTGAGCGTAACATATCAAGAAGCTCTTCAGTGTACATCTCGTGTAGAACATAGAGAAGTTACTAGCACCGACATCTGAATATTTGTCGATCCTGTCAGCAGCGGATCATGCTACTTATACGACGGGTAGCTGTTGGTAAAAAGGTCTAGAATGAATTTTGTCCTTCCATCGAAAGTCACCCAAACAATCGACTCAGATTGCAGGATAGTGGCTATAACTTTTTATCAAATACTACTGGAAACACCGACCCATGTTAGGAACACAACCACAAGCCACCACGTGATCCAAATTTGACGTGCCAAGGCCATGTCCGATGCAGAGTCTCCTCATACAACGCACAGGGCCAAAGGAGCCGCATTTAACATTTTAACTCTCAGTGGGCCCCCCTTCAGAATCGCATTTCGACATCATGTTAGTGTGCAACCCACGATCCCATCCCAGCTTAGATCTTCGTACAGCTTAAACGGAACGGAACGGAATGAGCCTTTACTCGCATTACAGCCCATCGCTTCATTTCTGCATTCCCTTGAGTGGACGAGGGCCGACCACGGCCAAGCTGGAATTATATCCGTCTACCTCATCTCATGTTCTGCCTCGACAAGGTGGTAATGGAACTTCATGGTGACACGCCAGTTTATAGGCTTGTACTCGACAGGTCCCCACTATTGGTGCGGAAAAAAACAGGCAGCTTTAGTTATCTTTGTCGGAATAAGAAGCTCCGTGTTGCCTTTTATCGAGTTTTAAGGGTTTCACAGCGCCTTTCTAAATGTGAATCAAGGCACGATAGTTACATCAGAAGCGCAAACTGGTAAAGATTCAGGGATTTCAGGGGTCGCATGGCGCAGGGGTCGTACAAAGGACGGGTGAGACTACAAACAAGAGAGGCAACGTCTTACACACGTTATATATTCACTTTTACTTTTGCCACCAACTATCCAAGCAGCTTGAGCGCCACGTACATGTCAAACAGTCCTGTTCACCTATAGCTTCATCATAGTGCGTGGAAGTCAGTAGACAATGCCAGGAGCTGTGAGGCATGAACCATGGACGCCTACTAGTCCAATATTCGGCTTTCCTGCGCTTGAGCGCAGGTCTAAGCGATTGGTAGCAGTCTGCAGCACCACGTAACTGGTTTTTGTAGCTTTGGTGTCGCACCAGAGGCCTCAACAAGTACGAACTGTGGACATGCTTTTGCATTGCGAAGAAGCAGCTAAAATTTAATATCACGCCGGCTGCTTAGTTAACAATTATGACAGAAGTAGTGAGATGCAAGGGGTGCAAAGAGACCGCAGCACACAATTTTGTTGTTATTAATCCCAAATTGGCACCAAACAAATGCAAACACAGCAAAAAAACCGCACGCAAAACCAGTACCACCTCATGATGGAATCAACGTGCAGCACGATATTCATTAGGTGACTAATTCCTCAAAACCTGTAGGCGCCAAGGTAGTATCGATTTTATGTATATATTGATGCATCGCAATGTCCGGCGAAAGGGCAGACATCGACTTAGGCGCACTTCATGTGCCACTGAACTGGTTTTGTCCATTGCAACAAAAAGGTCGCTGCGGAAAGATTTTACCAGGCGATGTGTATGTCCATAATGGCTGCTATTTGTTACAGTACTACTGCACCGCTGTGCTTGACATCCTTCTGGACAAATTCTGCAAGTGAGAACCATCTTCATCTAACATTACAAAGCCGTATTTTGCAGCTCATAGCGACATCGTATCAATAAAATAATGGTCAGAATATTGTAGTCACAGGAGTTGTGTTTGTTAAACATGTAAAACGCTGCTCGATGCATGTTGTTGTCAAATCCTAATTTACAAACCTATAATCAAGTATGTTTGGTGATTATTAAATAATTTATACTTCACCACTGATATCGAAATGTCAAGTTATGCTGCTGTACACAGCACTGCGCTTGTTCCAAAAAATCAGTTCCTACGTACCATGCGTGACGTTTGTTGCTCTTGAGCGCAGCAGTTTCTGCAGCATCGATGCTGGAAGTGATGTTTGGTCCCATTAACCTCTCGCAAAGCCCATCCAACGCGCTCACAAGACCTCTGGAGCATCCCAGGGTGGCGGGACACTTGGTTGGCTGTGGGTTCTTCACCTATGATACACAGGAAACGTAGTCGGCATGAGTAAATACACGACTCTCACGACATTCTTGTTGCGCACACGCTTCTTTAATCCAAGCAAAAAAAATAGCATTAGCTTAGCACGTATATAAGATATCATTACTGTGCTAACTTCGGCTTCGATACGTTTGATCGAACGTCGCATGACTTAAGCCTGATCATTCACTTATGCCGCACTGTCACATGTTCTAGTTGTTAATGTTGATATCCGAATTAGAATATATTTAAGCGGCTCAACCGTTTTTAAGCTTTTCATCCTCACAAACTTACTTCGCATTTACAGCAATCGCGCGAGAGGTCTGCAGAAGATACCCCCGAAAAAGTTCGGGGTCGAGAAAGGGACGATCTCCGCCTAATATATATGCGGCATTGGATGAAGCAGAACGTCTTGAGTGGCGACTGCAGATTAAAAAAATGGAAGGTTAGAAACATTGTAGGTCTTTGTCGCGTAATATTCATTATTACCATGCTAAAGTGATGCTTTTTTGCGACTGGTGCGGGTTTCGTAATGTTTGCATGTGTTTGGTGCTGAAATTGCGATTTACTCTTTTCTCAGGCTGCAAGATGCTTAGGCGTTCCAAAGTCTATAAATGCTACACCGTTTTAGCGAGTTTGAAAGATGCCTGCTGATGTTAAAAGACTATTGCTACTGAGATTACAATTGCCAAGTTTCGCCGGTACACAAACGACTTCCAAAGCGGTAGCGAAGTCGTTTGAAAGATGATACCTAGAAGCGAAACAGAATTTTATTAAAATATCGAATATGCTGGCATTTGCTGAATTTGTTCCCTATTTGAAATCGTTCAAAAATTGCACGTGTGGGCCGAGAAAAAGATTTGACAGTTCGAAGAGGTCTAACATCTACGGATTCAGGAAATTTTGATAGCTGAGAAAACGGTTTCTGTCACGCCAAATATAATGCCCGAAAGAGAAGTTGATTTGTTTCTTTGGCACAGATAAAATTCTGT